TCTATTTTCAGATGGTACGTTCTTTAAAAGATTGATTGATTGATTGATTTCATTGCAGTTGTTCGGCAGTTCAAAATTCTTAAATTTTTAATTTAAGCCAAATTTAATAAGGAAATGTTTAAGTATTATTTTCTTTTTTTTTTTTGGTTTTTTAATAATAACCCTACTTTCTTTTAATTATTGTGTGTTGTAGTATGTATATTCAAATTTGGAAATTTGATCGAAGTGATATATATATTTTGGATTGAAATACTTAGTGCATATAAGAGAGTAATCAAATAAGATTTAAAATAAACTTAGACTCAAAAAGCCTGGCGAACTGGATATGATCGCTTTAACCATGTGTTACCAAGGTCCCAGTGACTCTTTTTGTTAACAAAGCTAACCATCAGTTGGTTCAAAATCGAAAAATCTGGTGTAGCAGGAAATTTCCTCTCAGATATCATTCTCTTTTATGATCTGGGCTATTTCAAGGACATATGTACATTTCACAAGTATTGGATAACTATGTATCTTTGAGACCAAGGAAAAAATGGTTCTAATGGTATCACAATGCGACATATAGTTTCCCAGTGATCTCAATAAATCGAGTACTGACCTTGGGATCGGGAGTAGGCATGGAAAATTGTACTTCTTAGGTTTAAAATAAAATAGTACTTTTTAGGTTTTAATTAAAACCTAAAAACTTTAAAGTACTAAACAAAATTTCTGCTAGATTATATACGGACTAGAAAATCTAGAGTATAGTATAGACTAGACTATAGACTAGGCTTTACACTATATTATACACTAGACTATAGACTAGCCCATAGACTAGACTATACACTAGACTATAGACTAGTCTATATGTTATACTATATACGAGACTATGGACTAGAGTATAAAATAGATTATATACTAAACTGTAGACTCGTCTATGGAATAGACTATATGCTAGCCTATAGACTGGACTATAAAATAGACTATATTAGGATATAGACTAGACTTTAGTCTAGATTTTAGACTCGACTAGAGACTTGACTATAGACTAGACTATGGAATATACTATATACTAGACTATAGACAAAACTATAGAATAGGCTATTGCTTACATACTAGACTCTATACTAGACTATAGACTAGACTATAGACTAGACTATAGACTAGACTGTAGACTAGGCTATGTACTGGTCTATGGATTAGTATGTGTATCACGACATTCGATATCAAAAACAGTACTAACAATACTAGACTCTATACTAACTATACTAGACTATATACTAGAGTATAGAATAGACTATATACTAAACTGTAGACTCGTCTATGGAATAGACTATATACTAGCCTATAGACTGGACTATAAAATAGACTATATTAGGATATAGACTAGACTATGGTCTAGACTATAGTCTAGACTATAGACTCAACTTGAGACTTGACTATAGACTAGACTATGGAATATACTATATACTAGACTATAGATAAAACTATATAAAATGCTATTGCTTACATACTAGTCTCTATACTCGACTATAGACTAGACTATAGACTAGGCTATGTACTGGTCTATGGATTAGTATGTGTATCACGACATTCGATATCAAAAACAGTACTAACAATACTAGACTCTATACTAACAATACTAGACTCTACACTAACAATACTAGACTTTATACTAAACTATAGACTAGTCTGTAGACTAGGCTATGTACTGATCTATGGATTAGTATGTGTATCACGACATTCGATATCAAAAAAAGTACTAAACCCCAGAATTTTCCATGTCTGATTGGGAGTAAAAATCGTGCACATTACGAACGAAATCATTAGATAAACATAAATAATCTGTCATTGTATATAAAAAGGAAACTATTTGGATTTGGAATCAATTTAACATTTGCCAAAAATATTGAAGAAGGTTTATAAGGATTGCATTAAATTTTAAATGAACAATATAAATTAAACTTTAAACATACAATTCAAACATAATTTAAAAGGCTTCAAAATTCCATGGAAGAAAAACCTTTGCAGTCTAAATACAACACATACAATCAACATACATATAAACAAATTTTAATTTCAACTCATGTTTTATTTAAAAGTTACATTATCCACCTATATCCATAAGCCACATGTTGCACCAGACACAAATCAAATACCAAAAAATAAACCATGTAAATTTAATTTACAAATTTATTTAATACGATATTTTTGCAACTCTTTTCCTCTCTTTTTTCCTTTTTGTGCATTTAATAAAAAAACGCCACAGGACGTTCATATGTTGGCATCAATGAAGAGATTATGTGGGTCAGCATTGGCATGGGCATTACCATTGCCGTATTGATAACCATAGCCCTCTGTTATATAGCACGTGAAAAATGCCAAAAACGTCAAAGGGAATATTATGTGACAGCATAGCTGGCTTCAATATCTGTCAAACCAAACAACTTGGACTTGTCAGCGTTGGCCACAATAACCAACGGCAGCAGCACTATAATCAAGTCAGCACTAAGAGCTGAACAGAATAGAACAACCACAACAGGAAAGAACAAAAAATATGATGTTAAAGTCAATAATATCTATAATGTGGGAGACGACGACAATGTTGCCGCCGCCGTCATCAACAATAATTTACATACCACCAATCAGCCAAGGGCAACGACAACAACAACGACTACCACAACAGCACCCACCATAAACACCTACAATAATAATAATAATATGAATATTAACGCAGGTGGTGGGAGTCGTTTGGGCTCAAATAATAATTTCAACTTTAGATTTTTAAATGAACCACAACAACAACATTTACTTAGATTACAACAACCAGCACTTGCAAATTTCAATGGAACACATCAACCGCATCCACAACCACTTCATCATCAACAATTTAATCAAGAGCCTCAACTAGACCACCTTCTACAACATCCATATTATATCGAACAACCTGAGCAACAATACTTTATTAATGGATTTCAGCAAGTTAGACAACCACCACCACCACCACCCATTATAATAGATGATGATAATGATGACCCTCAACCGGAATATCCACAACATCCGTTGCAGCAGCAGCAACAACAACAACAATATGCCAACAACCATCGTTATGGTATTCCTTTGTCTATTGGTTTTAACATTGGTTCATGGTGTACCCGATCCTGGGGTTAAATATTTATTTATAATATTTGCTTTATAGTAAATTTTCTCTTGACATCATTAAAATGTTAAACAAATCTGTAATATTTCTTGTTTTTTGTTGTTGTTGTCTTTGACAAAAGGAAAATGTTATATATTTTTAATATAATATAAATTTTTATACAAATGGTATTACATCTCTTCATTAAAAAAACAAACATTATTTTTTCTGAAACCAGTGTACAGTGTGGTCGGTAAGAATGAGTACAAAAGTGTCAAGTTTTTCAAAAAAATATTTGTTCGTGATTAACAAACACAATTTAATGAAATTAAGAATTTCTTTGAAAAGAAACACTAAAACTTCAAAACGTTCATAGCAGGACTCAAAATATTAGAATCATATTTATAGAACATACAATTTCATTCATATGGATGACCTAACTTTATTGTCAGTTTCTGTTTCTGTACTACAAATAGCTTGCACAATATTGGACTTTGGAGTGTGAATTGGGATTTGATTATTCATCTAGTCAAATTGGTGAAATCGCTGCTCCGATGCGACCAATAACATCAAAGCAGCTGATAAAACGATTATCGAAATTTTCCAGCTTAAATCTAAGATTGTATCTTAGATTTATATCTTCAATTTCAATACATAACCCGTTAACCAAAATTGCATTTCCAGACATTCGGGCACAGCAGCTATATATGCTCTGTAAGACGATGGGAACCTCAAGTGTTGCCCGCTTTTTTAAATAATCCACTATTGACTAGACTACGGACTAGTCTTTCTATTGGATAGTCTACGGACTGGTATATTGACTAGTCTACGGACTAGTCTATTGACTAGTCTACCGACTAGTCTATTGGTTAGTCTCTAGTCTTTTGACTTGTTCATAAAATAGTTAATGTACTAGCCTATTGACTAGTCTTGGAACTAATTTATTGTCTGACTACTCTAGGGACTACCATATTAACTAGTCTATAGGTTAGTATACTAAATGGTCTATGGATAAGGTCAGCTAATGGATTAGCCTATAAACTAGACTAATCTATATAGTAGTCTATTGACTAAATTATTGAAACACCTTCCCATTGACTAGTCTAAAGACGAGACCAGTTCATAAGCTAGTTTGCTATCTGTTCTATGAAAGAGCGTATTGGCCAGTCTATGGAGTACATAGTCTATAGTCTAGTCTGTCGACTTGTTCATAAAATAGTTAATGTACTAGTCTATTGGCTAGTCATGGGGACTAATCTATTATCTAGACTACTGACTACCTACTCTAGGGACTACCATATGAACTAGTTTATGGGTCAGTATATTGAATAGTATATGGACTAATGGAGTAGCCTATAAACTAGACTAGTCTATGCAGTAGTCTATTGACTAAATTTTTGACTAGTCCAAAAACCATCCCATTGACCAGTCTAAAGACGAGGCTAGTCTACAAGCTAGTCTGCTGACTGTTGTATGGAAGAGCGTAATGGTCAATCTATGGAATAGATTACTGTTTAGTCTATTGACTAACAATTGTCCATATACCAGTATATAGCCTAGTCTACAATCTAGTCTAGAGTATAGTAAAGAGTCTAGTATATAATCTATAGCCTATTCTATAGCCTAGTTTATATAGTTTAGTCTATAGACAAGCCTATGGGCTAGTCTCTAGTCTAGTCTGTCGACTTATTCATAAAATAGTTAATGTACTAGTCTATTGGCTAGTCATGGGGACTAATCTATTATCTAGACTACTGACTACCTACTCTAGGGACTACCATATGAACTAGTTTATGGGTCAGTATATTGAATAGTATATGGACTAATGGATTAGCCTATAAACTAGACTAGTCTATGCAGTTGTCTATTGACTACACTATTGACTAAATTGTTGACTAGTCCAAACACCATCCCATTGACTAGTCTAAAGACGAGGCTAGTCCACAAGTTAGTCTGCTGACTGTTCTATGGAAGAGCGTAATGGCCAATCTATGGAGTAGACTATTATTTTATTTCTAGATCAGTTAATATACTAGCCTATTGACTAGTATATAAACTAGACTTTTGAGGCCAAAAGTTCAAACCAGTTGCAGTTATTTGGATATATGACGATGGCAACCACAGGTATCTATAGACAAATCTGCTGGCTAGTATATGGTGTAGTCCTACTTAAGGAACCTCTGTCCATGCATCTTTTGGTTTCATGAGGCCCAAATTCAAGACATTAACACGACATTACTTTCATTGTTAAGCACAATTCATATTCTACCTAAATGCAGATTAACATTTCACTATTAGGGAAATGTTGCCCCACTGTGCACTTTATGTTTATGATTTTAGTTACTCAACTTTTGTATATTACATAAACTTTTGTAATCATTTAATAACTAAGTATTTAATATGTATCTAGTTTTTACTCCTAAAGCCAAAGATTTTTTAAAATTATTTTTTTCTATTCTAAGAATTTTTCTAAAATAAAAGGAATATGTGTATTAGATCGGCTCTCTGAAAAAGGTGCTGCTGGTGTTAACCAACTAAAGAACTTTTTTTTTGCTTTTTATAACAAAGTGAGTCGTTCTAATTAAAAAAAAATAATTAGGAAAATATTACTTTATCTAAAAATATATAAAATTTTGAAATAGACACACAACCAGTTATTACAATTTAGCAACAATTAAAAAAAAAACATAAATAATAAATATTAATAAAATTTCGCAATAGGAAAATTTAGAAAACATTTTAAAAGAAAAAATTACTTATTATGTTGATACATTCATAGATATCCCGTAAAAATATTCGTACATATTGGACAGATGAGATATATTTTTAATCCTTAATAATCCCCAGTAGTTTTGCAGACTGTAACTTAAACTTTCTTGAGATTCAGTCTAACAATTTTGGAGACAACACTGGTAAATAATTATACAAGTATGTCTACACATACATTACAAAGTGACGGTATGGTAGCTAGTCATTTGATCCTTTTTATGTCTCTAATATGTTGGGGACTGCTTTCCAAACTGTTGGGGATTTTTTGTTAAAAATAATAAATAAAACACTTTCATATAGAATTATTGTTATCAAATGCACTTTAATGTTGTAAAAATAATTGAGATAAATCGAATATTTAACCGATCTATTAGATTAAAAAATAGGCATCCCTTCCCAACTGACAAGAAAAACAAGTGAATTTTAAAAAATTTCAAGTATATAAGAATTTTCAAAAGATTTTGAAACTCGAGCCTCAGATTTTCTTATAAAATTCACTTGAAATTTCCTAACTTTTTAAAAAAATATAAAAATTATATTATGAAATCTATCTAATTAGTAAATTACTTTAAAAACCAGAAATATTATTAAATTAATTATATTAATACTTAAATAAAAACAAACAATTATGGATCAATTTTTATATATTTACTTTTAAAGAAATTGAATTAAAAACTAATTAAAATATATAGAGTTAAAAAAATTGTTGTCGAAAATTATATTCCAAAAAAAAAAATAAAACTTCTTAACTCATATAATTAATAAATAATATGGTATTCCAGTAAGGAAAATAAATTATTTATTTGTAAATTAGTAAGAAACACACGATCACACCATATAATACAAAGAAAAAATCAATATTTTATTGTAATTTTATTGAATGTATTTTTATGTAAATTTGAGAAAAAAAAACATTAAATAAAAAGACAAAAAGAAAACCAAAAATAAATATCATATCTCTTTAGAAAAATGGTACCTAAAACGGACTATAGACTAGACTATAGACAAGACTATAGACAAGACTATAGACTAGACTATAGACTAGACTATAGACTAGACTATTGACTAGACTATAGACTAGACTATAGACTAGACTATAGACTAGACTATAGACTAGACTATAGACTAGACTATAGACTAGACAATAGACTAGACTATAGACTAGACTATAGACTAGACTATAGACTAGACTATAGACTAGACTATAGACTAGACTATAGACTAGACTATAGACTAGACTATAGACTAGACTATAGACTAGACTATAGACTAGACTATAGACTAGACTATAGACTAGACTATAGACTAGACTATAGACTAGACTATAGACTAGACTATAGACTAGACTATAGACTAGACTATAGACTAGACTATAGACTAGACTATAGACTAGACTATAGACTAGACTAGACTATAGACTAGACTATAGACTAGACTATAGACTAGACTATAGACTAGACTATAGACTAGACTATAGACTAGACTATAGACTAGACTATAGACTAGACTATAGACTATAGAACTAGACTATAGACTAGACTATAGACTAGACTATAGACTAGACTATAGACTAGACTATAGACTAGACTATAGACTAGACTATAGACTAGACTATAGACTAGACTATAGACTAGACTATAGACTAGACTATAGACTAGACTATAGACTAGACTATAGACTAGACTATAGACTAGACTATAGACTAGACTATAGACTAGACTATAGACTAGACTATAGACTAGACTAGACTAGACTATAGACTAGACTATAGACTAGACTATACTAGACTATAGACTAGACTATAGTAGACTATAGACTAGACTATAGACTAGACTATAGACTAGACTATAGACTAGACTATAGACTAGACTATAGACTAGACTATAGACTAGACTAGAGACTAGACTATAGACTAGACTATAGACTAGACTATAGACTAGACTATAGACTAGACTATAGACTAGACTATAGACTAGACTATAGACTAGACTATAGACTAGACTATAGACTAGACTATAGACTAGACTAGACATAGACTAGACTATAGACTAGACTATAGACTAGACTATAGACTAGACTATAGACTAGACTATAGACTAGACTATAGACTAGACTATAGACTAGACTATAGACTAGACTATAGACTAGACTATAGACTAGACTATAGACTAGACTATAGACTAGACTATAGACTAGACTATAGACTAGACTATAGACTAGACTATAGACTAGACTATAGACTAGACTATAGACTAGACTATAGACTAGACATACTAGACTAGACTAGACATACTAGACTAGACTATAGACTAGACTATAGACTAGACTATAGCTAGACTATAGACTAGACTATAGACTAGACTATAGACTAGACTATAGACGAGACTATAGACTAGACTAGAGACTAGACTATAGACTAGACTATAACTAGACTATAGACTGACTATAGACTAGACTATAGACTAACTATAGACTAGACCTATAGACTAGACTATAGACTAGACTATAGACTAGACTATAGACTAGACTATAGACTAGACTAGCTAGACTAGACTATAGACTGGACTATAGACTGTTGAAGGTTGTTAAGCGCAAAAAAGAATAGTTCTTTGAAAGATGTGAACATTTCGAGTTGTGATAAGTAAGTTTATTCACCAAATTGAATATTGGCTTTAAATTGCTCACGTCCTTACCTATGAACTGCTAGCTTTAATAAGGCACTGCCTTACCGATAGCTTAGTAATTTTGTAATTGTCTCCGCTAATATATCTTATTTCTTTTAAAGCAGCATTAACGTATTCTTGGTGTCGCCATCTGTATGTCAATAAACGCATATAATAATCTTAACATCTGTTAAGCAATAACTCCCAAACTGTTACATTGCTGTCAAATATTCTAGCAAAACAAAAACGAAGAAGCACATTGTAGCAAAACAATCAAAATAAACTAACACGTTTTTGAAAAAGAACAAAATAATTTACAAATTGCATTTTTAAATTGAAAGAATATTAAGATATTTTAATAAAACAAAATGACTATTGAACTAAATTTAACCACAGCTCCCCAGCCCAGACGTAGTAAACCGGAGGTAAGTGTAAATAGGCATAAAACATAAAGAACAGTGCGAAATGAAAACATATTTTTTTTCTTCTAGGAAAAAGTGAAGCCTTTAGCAGAAAAACCTAAAAAAATTAAAGGTTCCTCTTCCTCAAATGGATTTTCTTTCGAATTTGGCGGAGGGACACAAAAAGTGAAAGCCTTAGTGGCTAGAAAACGCCAGCCAGCTAAAAGTGGGGACTCTGAGAAACAAGAAGCCTCAAACCTTAAAGTGGCACCCAAATCTATAGCCATACGTAAAAAGGCGGTAGCTAAACCTGCTGCAGCAGATATTGCTACTAAATCTATAGCTTTAAAACGTAAAGTAGAAACTCCGAAAAAAGAAACATCGTATAAACAACACTCCGACAATGAATCTGATCTGGACACTTATCTACAAATGGCCAAACCGACAACAAAACCTGCTGCCTCTGATTTAATGTTAAATATCTGTACCTCCCCCTCCACCACGAAATTCCAACCAAAACAAAAACTTTCACAGCAAGAACGTATACAACAGAAGCGTAATGCTCGCAAAGGTGATGGTGTCCTCAACAAACACACCTTAAGCCACAAAGAGATACGAACGGGCATTAAGAAATTTTCACAAAATCCCAATCAAAAACCTCGTGCTTCCGATATTTTCGAACAAAACGAACGTGAATCGAGGGAAGCTTTAAAAAAGGAAACAGAGGGTGATGAGAAGGAAGAAGAAGTTAAGGAACCTTTAGAATTGGGTGAAGTTGATGCGACTGCTCGCAAATCGAATGCTTTTAGAGTTAAACGTCCCGGTGATTCAAGTGTACGTAAAATTGGTCTTTTTAAAGATCACCCGAGAAAATTGAATTAGGTCAACGTTTGGTACGGCCTATAAGGGAGAAACTTTTGATGGTTGTAAATTGGATTCGATAGGCTTACATGATCATACTGTTAAGAAGTTGTCGGAATTTACTCGGTATTACGCAATTGACTACAGTGCAGCAGAAGTGTTGCCAAAGGCTTTGGAAGGTGAGTTGGAATTTAATTTATATAGATAGATAGATAGATAGATAGATAGATATAGTAGATAGATAGATCGATAGATAGATAGATAGATAGATCGATAGATAGATAGATAGATAGATCGCTAGATAGATCGATAGCTGCTCGATAGATAATAGATAGATCGATAGATCGCTCCGATAGATCGCTCGCTCGCTCGCTCGCTCGCTCTCGCTCGCTCGCTCGCTCGCTCGCTCGCTATCGCTGCTCGCTCGCTCGCTCGCTGCTCGCTCGCTCGCTCGCTCGCTCGCTCGCTCGCTCGCTCGCTCGCTAGCTCGCTCTCTCGCTCCGCTCGCTCGCTCGCTCGCTCGCTCGCTCGCTTCCTCGCTCGCTCGCTCGCTCGCTGCTCGCTCGCTCGCTCGCTCGCTCGCTCTCTCGCTCGCTCGCTCGCTCGCTCGCTCGCTCGCTCGCTGACTCGCTCGCTCGCTCGCTCGCTCGCTCGCTCGCTCGCTCTCTCGCTCTCTCGCTCGCTCGCTCGCTCGCTCGCTCGCTCGCTCTCTCGCTCGCTCCTCGCTCGCTCGCTCTCTCGTCTTGCTCGCTCGCTCTCGCTCGCTCGCTCGCTCGCTCTCTCGCTCGCTCTCGCTCGCTCTCGCTCTCTCGCTCGCTCTAGCTCGCTCTCTCGCTCTCTCGCTCTCTCGCCGCTCGCTCGCTCGCTCGCTCGCTCGCTCGCTCGCTCGCTCGCTCGCTCGCTCGCTCGCTCGCTCCTCGCTCGCTTCGCTCGCTCGCTCGCTCGCTCGCTCGCTCGCTCGCTCGCTCGCTCGCTGCTCGCTCGCTTCGCTCGCTCGCTCGCTCGCTCGCTCGCTCGCTCGCTCGCTCGCTCTCTCTCGCTCGCTCGCTCCTCGCTCGCTCCTCGCTCGCTCGCTCGCTCGCTCGCTCGCTCGCTCGCTCGCTCGCTCGCTCGTCGCTCGCTCGCTGCTCGCTCGCTCGCTCTTTCCCCCCTCCCCTTCTCTTTCTTTCCCTCTTTTTCCTTCCGCCGGCCCGCTCTTCTGGTCGTTTCCCCCCTGGTTCGGGTCCCCCTCTCGCCTGCTTTACCCATTGTCGAAAAGCTTCAGGAAATAAGGCCACCCGTGATATGGGTATATTGGCAATAGTTATAGTGCCTACCAGAGAATTGGCCATACAAACTTATGAACTTTTCCAGAAGTTAGTAAAACCATTTACATGGATTGTTCCCGGCGTTCTAATGGGTGGTGAAAGACGTAAAGCTGAAAAGGCTAGATTACGTAAAGGCATCAATATTCTAGTGGGTACTCCGGGACGTTTGGTGGATCATTTATTACATACTGAAACCTTTAAAGTAAATAAAGCTAAATTCCTTGTACTCGATGAAGCAGATCGTATGTTGGAAATGGGTTATGAGCGAGATGTTAAGCAAATTGTAGAGGGTATTGATAAGCAGCGTACGGAAAGTGCTAAGGAGGATATGGAGGCTGTAAAACCCATACAAAGATTATTATTGTCGGCCACCTTAACAGCTGCTGTTCAAAAATTAGCTGGTTTAACGCTAAATGAACCAATATTCATTGATAATAGTGATGAAGATCCTAAAAAAGCCATAACCACTGTTAATGGTTATGATAAGGAGAGTATAGAAGCTGCCACCGCGGAATTATTAGATGGTGAAGATTCTACGGGTATTCTAACTATACCAGAGAATCTGAAACTGAGTTATATGGTGGTTACACCCAAATTACGTTTGGTAACGTTGGCTGGCTTGTTGGCTAGAGAATTTCGAGGAAAGGATAAATTTAAAGCTTTAATCTTCATGAGTACCATGGAAATGGTTAATTTTCATCATGATCTTTTAAATGAACAATTAACCAGAAGGGTACTCGATGAAGATGATGAAGAATTGGCCAATGAAATGTCTGAAGATGAGGGTGAAGATCCCCTGTTAAAGGGCTTAAGATTCTTTAGGTGAGTTTAATAAAAATTAGACTCTTTTTAATATAAAATAACTTGTTTTGTTTTTTTAATACTAGACTACATGGTTCCATGTCCCAAACAGAAAGACAGGGTGTATTCAAAGGTTATAGAGAATGTAAATCTGGAGTTTTATTGGCCACCGTAAGTTAATGGAAATACATGTTTTTGAAATTTTAAAATAACTTTTTATATTTTTATTTAAAATAGGATGTGGCGGGTCGTGGCATAGATGTGCCTGAAATTGATTTAGTCATACAGTATTCGCCTCCCCAAAATACCGCCGATTTTGTGCATCGAGCTGGTCGTTCTGCTCGTGCTGGACGTAGTGGTCGTGCTGTTTTATTTTTAACACCCAGTGAAGTGCAATTTGTACGTTATTTGGAAAATAAACGTATACGCATTTCTCAGGTCGATATGGAAGACTATTTAAAAGCTCTCGATGAAGTCGATAATGAATCGCATTCATTGCAAGAAGCTGCCTCAAATTTACAACATAAATTCGAAGAACTTATAGCAGATGATAAGGAAATGCATGGAAAAGCCTGTAAAGGTAAGTGGTTTATGATATTTTTATACCTAGTTTTAACCCTTATATTGTTTTAAAAGTCACAATTTTATGATTTCCTACAAAACGTCGATTTTTTTTAAATTCTCTTAAAACTAAACTAAAAATCGATTTTACTTTTTTATTTTGTTGTAATTTACTATATAAAGTTATTAAAGTTAAGTGCTCTAGCTATTCTTATTGTTTTTCTGCAAAACTTTGAAACAAAAGCGAGCTTTTGTTTTAGCAAGTACATTTCTAATTTAAGGGGGTAACAAAAATACAAAAGCACTTAAGAATTCAACTACAAATAAACTTACAACAAAGAAGATAAGAAATAATAAATTTTCAAGTTGAAAAACTGATTCAATTATTGTGCATTTTACAGTTTCCTTGGGATTTGTTTTTTGTAAAAATTTTTTTTTTTTTTTTTTTTTTTTTGCAAAATATTATTCGCTTGAACATTTTGTTATTTTTTGATATTGTATATGTATATACATATATTTTTTTGGAATGCTATAATGAAAGAAAAGTATTTTAAGTTTTACCAGCTATAGAAAGGAATATGTAGGAATTTCTTGCGATTTTTGAATTCATTGAATGAAATATCAAAATGTTTATATTTTAAATGTTAGGATTGTACATTTCTTTAGTAAATTAAAGAAAAAATCCCAATTTCTGGGAAAAAACTCCTCAATTGGGGATTTTGGAAAAATATTTGGGAATTGAAATTTGTATGTTTTTAAAAAGAAAAATTTCTGTTTTAACAATTTAAGCTTTTGAAATTAAGTTTCATTAAAAAATTCCTTTCGCCGGCTTAAAAGTTTTTATTTTAAATGGTTTCCCCAGATTTGTAATTTTATGTTTATAAACAAAATTATTATTTATGGTTTTAATAATTGTATTGTTTGTTAAATCTTTGAATTTTATAAAGAAAATTGTATTCCCAATTCAATGGAAAAAATCTCCTCAATTGGGGATTTTGGAAAAATGTTTGGGAATTAAAATTTGTATATTTTTAAAAAGAAGAATTCATAAATTATCAATTAAAACTTAGAAAAATTAAGTTTCATTAAAAAATTGTGGTTCCCCGGCATAAAAACTTGTAATTGTAAGCAAAAATTGTTTCCCCAGCTGTAAAATTTTACAATTTCAACAAAATAATATTTTTGCTGACTTTAATAACAGTTTTGTTTGTTAAAGCTTTGAATTTTATTAAAGAAAATGTAATCCCAATTTCTTGCAAAGAAATCTCCTCAGTGGGGATTTTGAGAAAATGTTTGGGAATGAAAATGTGTATGTTTTTTTAAAAAAATTCTGTTTTATCAATTAAAGTATTGAAAAATTAAGTTGTATAAAAAAATCTGGTCCCCGTCTTTAAAACTTTTAGTTTTAAGCAAACTATAGTTTCCCCAGTTTAGTAATTTTGTATTTTTATAGAAAATTTTTTTATACTGTTTAATAACTGTTTTGTTTGTTAAATATTTGAATTTTATAAAGAAAATTGAACTCCTAATTTTATGGAAAAAAATCTCCTCAATTGGGGATTTTGGAAAAATGTTTGGGAATTAAAACATTTATGTTTTAGCGAAGAAAAATTCTTGTGTTTTCAATTAAAACTTGAAAAAATTAAATAACTTTAAAAAATGTGGTTTCCTGACTTAAAGACTTTAAAAATCTCCTTAATTGGGGATTTTGAAAAAATGTTTGGAAATTAAAACGTTTATGTTTTAGCGAAGAAAAATTCTTGTTTTTTCAATTAAAGCTTGAAAAAATTAAATCCCATTAAAAAATGTGGTTTCCCAGCTTAAAGACATTTAATTTTAAAAGAAAATAGTTTCCCCAGTTGTATAATTTTTAAGAAATTTAACTTTTAGATTCTTAAATCTTTGAATTATATAAAAAAATTAAATTCCCAATTTCATGGAAAAAATCTCCTGAATTGGGCATTTTTGAAAAACGTTTGGGAATGGAAATTTTTATGTTTTTGAAAAGAAAAATTCTTATTTTACCAAAAATTTCAATGAAAAATCTCCTCAATTAGGGATTTTTAAAAACTGTTGGGGATTGAAAATTTTATGTTTTTGACAAGAAAAAAACATGCGTCTAATGCTTTTAAAATCTTGTTTTTACTTCTCAGTTGGAGTGAGAAAAAATGGCAGGTCTTCTTCATTCTTCGACTTTACTGTCAAAATTTTAACACTATAGACAACGACAGCAGTCTGTAATGGTGTTCCTGTAGCTGTTGCCTTTAATTGCAGGCGGGGAACTCTGTCACCCGATTCGAAAAAGTTCAAATTTATTTTTTAGTTATTTTAGTTTGGAATTCTTATGATTGGAACCAATTTATAAAATTTTTCTTGTTGTAGTATGGCAGCAGTTTGTGGACGAAGGTTAAGCTTCAGAATTATGACATTAGCTTTTACAAGTGTTTTAAAAAAAATTACAGAAATAATCTCAATTTTTCTATTAAGAAGTGTTTTAGAGAAGTTAAAAGCGATTTAGGAGTATCGATCATAAAACAAGCTCCTTTTTCAATTTAAATGTGATTTAAGGTTAGTTTCTACGTTACGTTCCGAGATGAATCAGCTATGTATATCTATAAGTCTTTAGTTTGAACATGAGAATGCCGTTAGGTTTTTGTATGTTAAACACAAATCAACTGATTCACCACGGAAATCGTGAAATATTATTAATCCAAAGTTATTTAATTATTATAAATTTGTTCCTTGTAGGGTATTTCAATTTCCACTAATAACGTACTTATATTTCCCGTTTTGTCATGTGTAATTGTAGTTGCTATTTTTTATTTCTTTGTTTTATATGCGAAACTAACAAATGCTCTTTTTACAAGGAGATGTTCACAGGATGTTTTGCAGTTTTACTTCCTTTTTTGGCAAAACTTCTTTCCTTGTGTGTAAGATTAACTAGAACTATGTATGTCTGTATATTTGTGTGTGTATATACCAATGCGTTTCTTTATATATTCGTTACTTGTTATTGTTTAGTATTATTCGAGTGAAACACTTGTAGTGGATTTTTGATTGGTCATACTTTTTTTTGCTGCTGTTATTATTTGTTTTTTTTTTCGTCTTCATATTTTTTGCTCTCAAATAGCAACTAAACTTTATTTCTTTGTTTGTTTAGTTTTTTTTGGGGGTAAACTCAAGCACCCCATTCATAAAAACAATGCTTTAGCTAAGAGTCATATAACGTCATCATGAACATCAACCCTAAAATTCTTTGCTTTTTAGTTTTTGGTGTGCATTTTTAAGAGGTTAAATCTTAAATGTAGTCAGATTTGGGGGGAATCCATTTAAACTTTCAATGATATTACTTTAAAATAACTGTAATTTTATTGGTTATTAATCAATGAAGTACTTAATGTAATGTGTGCCTCCGATAGTTAAGTTAGTGCCCTAGTCTTTCAGATCGGATGTGTGGGTTTTGATCCATACCAGTGACGAAGGTGAAAGGGTTTCATACAACATGGATCCTCCAACTAACTAACGAACGAGAACTAACGAACGAACGAACTAAACGAACGAAACGAACGTAAGAACCGAAACGAACGAACGGAACGACGAACGAACGAACGAACGAACGAACGAACGAACGAACGATACGAACGAACGAACGAACGAACGAACGAACGAACGAACGAACGAACGAACGAACGAATCGAACGAAACGAACGAACAAACGGAAAACGAACGAACGAACGAACGAACGAACGAACGAACGAACGAACGAACGAACGAACGAACGAACGAACGAACGAACGAACGAACGAACGAACGAAGAACGAACGAACGAACGAACGAAACGAACGAACGAACGAACGAACGAACGAACGAACGAACGAACGAACGAACGAACGAACGAACGAAACGAACGAACGAACGAACGAACGAACTAACGAACAACGAACGCGAACGAACGAACGAACGAACGAACGAACGAACGAACGAACGACGAACGAACGAACGAACGAACGAACGAACGAAGAACGAACGAACGAACGAACGAACGAACGAACGAACGAACGAACGAAACGAACGAAACGAACGAACGAACGAAGAACGAACGAACGAACGAACGAACGAACGAACGAACGAACGAACGAACGAAAACGAACGAACGAACGAAGAACGAAACGAACGAACGAACGAACGAACGAACGAACGAACGAACGAACGAACGAACGAAACGAACGAACGAACGAAAACGAACGAACGAACGAACGAACGAACGAACGAACGAACGAACGAACGAACGAACGAACGAACGAACGAACGAACGAACGAACGAACGACGAACGAACGAACGAACGAACGAACGAACGAACGAACGAACGAACGAACGAACGAACGAACGAACGAACGAAAGAACGAACGAACGAACGAACGAACGAACGAACGAAAGAACGAACGAACGAACGAACGAACGAAAACTAACGAACGAACGAACTAACGAACGAACTAAGAACTAACTAACGAACGAACTAACTAACTAACTAACTAACTAACTAACAACTAACTAACTAACTAACTATCTAACTAACTAACTAACTAACTAACTAACTAACTAACTAACTAACTAACTAAAGCATTGGAACATGTTTTTTTGGCTACACCCTTTAATTTCACAACATTTCTTTCCTTCTTTATCCTATTTAACTTTACAATTTTGCTATTGTTTAGTTATAGAAATTTTTTCAAAAGTTTTTATTGTTTTGTTTGCAAAAAAAATTGTTGTTCACTTTTATTTTAAGTGCGTATGATTGTTTTTAAGTGTATGAGTTGAACTTTTATAGCAATTATACGATTATATAGTCCTTTTTTTATAACTTCATGTATTTTGTTTTCTTACTTTCGCTATATAATATCATGTGTGTATGCATGTTTTTGTGTATGTGCTTAGTTAAATAAGTAATTTGTGTATTTTAATAATTCCGTTTCACTTACCTTCCGTTTCCGTTTAATTTGTTATGTATTTCCTGTTTG